CACAGCCCTGCAGGAGAAATTCACGGCGTGGGAGTGCGACTCAGCGGTGTCAGAAAACAAAGGTCAGTAGGGCTGGCAGGGGTACAGGAGGTCTTTGGGATGGGGACAATGAATGCTGAGATCTGCTCTGAGAGCAAGTGGCAGCAGGAGCAGACTGGGGAGAGGCAGACTGCAGAGGAGGGAAGGAGGGAGAAAACGGGTTTCCTGCTAAGAGCTTAGGGGGAGGAGAGGGCCGTGTTAATGGTATCCTGGAGAGCAGCGTGGCTGTGAACTCTGACCAGACAAAGGGGACAGCAGAGAGTGGCCCAGGGGAGGTTAACAATGGAGCAGTAATAAAAGGGCAGCTCCAGTCAGGGAAAGAAGCAATATCCCCTGTTTCCTGGGGCTAAAGGCCTAAAGGAGACTGTACAGGGAGTAGACAATTCAGATCACCAAAATAACTTAGTCAAGACCTGAGATCTTGCAAGAATTACCAGTTGTATTTACAAACCTGACTGGTCATCCCTCAAGCAATAGGAAAAATGTATCTGTACTCTCCTTGTTTTTCAAGCACTTTCTGTCAGGAGAAGTGACACGAGCACTGTCCCTGGAGAACTTGGATCTTTGAAATCACAATGTCTCTTGCTGCTACCATTCATTGCATTAATTTCTCTGTTCTTTCCCTACACAGGCCAAGGCTGGATGTGCTGCCCAAAGGACTGGAAAAGGTTTCAAAACAGCTGCTATTTTCTGTCCCTTGATAAGATGTCCTGGGCTGAGAGTGAGCAGAACTGCACTGGGATGGGCTCCCAGCTGGTGGTGATCAACAATGAGGAAGAGCAGGTACATGCACAGGGCTGAGAGAGGGGCAGAGCAGCCACAGACACAGTGCTGGGCCCTGGAGGGGACTCAGAGCTCCTCCTTGTCCTGCACTGGGTTCTGTGTGCCACCATCCCTACCCCATAGGGGCTCCTGATGCCTCCGTCTGATCAATCCTGCATCTCACGGACATTGTATTCTCCCTCATTTCCAGGTTTTCCTCTCTGGAGAGATAAAACAAGGTACAAGAGGACTGAATTTCTTCATTGGTCTGCGAGCAGAGATTAAGGATCAGTGGCAGTGGGTGGACAAGACTCCCTATAATGTGACAGCAGCGTGAGTATCCCTGGCTGGAGAGTGATTGGTGTGGCTCCTGGTAGTGCAAGAAAGAAGGGGAGATGTGAGGGTGTTGTGGGTGTGTGA